TATATATATATATATATATATATATACACATATACATATACATAATGTACACAGTACACACATATATTACATAAAAACTTTTATTTTGGATGCAATTAATCGCAATTAGTTAATTTAACAGCACTAATATATACATATATAATATATACATATATATATATATAAAAAATGCTTGATTTAATCTATATGCAGTCTAATTTTCTGTGAATAAAAAACAAAAAAACAAAAGCAAGTGCTGTCAATTACAGCATTAAATATGAAGGATGAATATTAAATATTGTGTTAAACATTATGCGACCTTAAAAGTCGAAAAAGTTTGAGAACCACTGTTCCATGTGCAAAAGAAAGAGATGAGCAAGCTGAATGTAAAGTAAAAGGCAGAGGCAGATATACATGCGTGTTAATGTGTGTGAGGGTCGTGCTGCACTGATGGGATGAGAGAACAATCCTCCTTTAATGAAGCAGATTTACAGGTTCCTGGTAGGATTAGAACACAGTGTCTGGCTGGAGGTCAAGTGTGTGAGAGAGTGCGAATGTGTGCGTTTGAACCAAAGACACAAACGCATGACTCACAAACACAGTGTTAACTCTGACATTACACCCTCTACTGTAACAAAATGTCCATGTATTACCATAAGGGTGTGCATGTGTTTGTGCAAACATATATATATATATATATATGATACATATTGTACAGTAAAGTCATAGCTAGTGTTCCATTCTGAACATACTCTTCAAGTCTTTCCCGAACCATAACAGCATAACACACACCGGTTGACAGGTTAGTGTGGCCTCAGGCTGAATGGCAGTCTGAGTAGTGTGTTTTTATAGTCTCCAGACATACTGTAATGAGTTATAATGTGTAAACCTACATAAATCAGAACAACACGTCTGAAGCGCCTGCCAAAGCCAGAGGCATACCAGCTCTCTGTCTCTGTACCTGCGAGTCACTTAAAACCAGAACGTCTTTGCTTACTTTAGACGAGACAGCTCAGATTCTACTGAGGCTATAAAGTAATGTCTGAATCAGGAGTTATTATAGTTAACTATCTAAATTAAAGCCCTAAAAAAGCATTTGTGTTGTCTGAAATAAAATAAACAAATGATATATGAAGAGTTTATTTGCAAAAATAGATAACTCGGTTTTTATTCATTTTCATAAATGTTTTTTGTGTTAGTTAGCTGTATTTTGTTTAGTTATGATTATTAAATCTAAACAACCCAACTGCAGTTTGATTGATATTAATTGGAATGCAGGATTCTTTCTCCCTAGTGAGTGTGTACCCTAGTGAGCAGCCTACCTAGACAGCATTTTAAAGAACTGACAGACAGTAAAGCACAAAAAAAAAATCTAATTTTAAAATAACTTTTCTATTTAAATAGATTTTTTTTTTTAACTATGATATACCATTATTCCAAGTTTGGGGTAAGATGTATAGAAGTAAGCAAGTACGTAAGTAAGCAAGCAAATAAATACATTTACATTTTACATTCACATTTAAATATTTAGCAGACACTTTTATTCAAAGCAATTTACAAATGAGGACAATAGAAGCAATCAAACAAACAAAAGAGCAACAATTTATAAGTGATGTGACAAGTCCCAGTTATTCTAATGTAGTACACGCGCGCATAAATAAATAAATAAATGCTGTTCATTGAACTTTGTATTCAAAGAATCTCTACAAGCATGTATCACATTTGCTATTACTATTAAGCAGCAAAAACAGCTTCCAACATCGATAAGAAGAACCATTGTCCATAGTTGAGCACTAATAATAACAACTGAGTAGCAAACCAGCCCATTAGAATGATTTCTGAAGGATTGTGTAACACTGAAGTCTGTAGTAATTATGCTGAAAATTTAGCTTTACATCACAAAAATAAATTACATACATTGTTTATATAAATGATATTTTATTTAAATAATCTAAAATATATTTTACATTGTCATAACCAGTGTTGGGGGTAACGCATTACAAGTAACACGAGTTTCGTAATCGGATTACTTTTTTTTTTAAGTAACTAGTAAAGTAACACAGTCCTTTTTAATTTAGAAGGAAATATCTGAGTTACTTTTTCAAATAAGTAACGCCAGTTACTTTGTTTTCCATGTCTTGACTGACAGCTCTTGTGTTGCCATGTTAAGAGAAATCATGCGTAAGTGTAAAGGCTTTGTGTGTGAACATGATCTTACTGTAGTTCTAGACCAACCCTCTACACTGCGAGTAAATCACACGCATATGCGACTAAATCTTCACTCTGGGCAACTAAATGATGTCTAATATTAGCCAATGGCTAATAAATTCTCAGATTTTACTCGCCAGTGTGTGAGTTGGATGCTGAGTATATGATTAGCACAGATATATTTTCACTCGCCGAACACTCTGCCTGAGCACTTCAGAGTTTCACTCTCCGTCAAGCGATCTGATATGTTTCAGTTCATTTGAATGGATGCGCAGCGCACCTGTGTTTGTGCATTTGGCGTAACGTAAACTCTAGTGTGAACTCGCACGACTCGCCGTCGCTTTCTCTCACACGTGCAAAGAGCGAGAGTCTTACATAACATGCAGAATTGATGCGCTACATGTAAACGATACACTTCGTTGTATTTTCCTGTAAAAATAACGGAGTTCCTTTGGAATTCTTCAGCTTTTAAGAACTGACAGGTTTTCCTGCAGTAGGCGGAACTAATGCGCAAACGGCAATCTCATTGGCTGGTGCTCACCTATTATAGTCCCTGTTTTGATATATATAGTATAGTATAATATTTCAGTCTGCCGAGTAAATAAAAAAATATACTAGCCAATGGCGATTCAATTGCCAAGGTGTCCATGTAGGGTTGTAGACTAAATATGAACATGTACCGTATTGACCCGAATATAAGACAATGTTTTTTCTTGGAAATACATCTGAAAAAACGCGGTCGTCTTATATTCAGGGTCTAGACTTTGACATGTCAATAATACACCCACAACAATAGGTGGCGCCAAATACGCATAAAACGAGTGTGTCTTGAAATACGTAATGTAATGCGTGTTGTAAAGATCGTGAGTAAGAACAAAAGAAAACCTTACAGCTGCACGAGTCGTGACTGTCACGTTAGCCTGATGGGACCAAACTCCCTTTTTGATTTTAACACGTAAGACAGTACCCAGATTTGAAGACTACGGTAAGATTTAACTTCTACTGTTAATACGATTTTGGTAGGCTACTATTAGATGGATAGCCTAAATGTCCTAATTCAGATGGGCTACCTGTTTTTTTTTTTTTAATTTATGGTATATCAAAAAGTGTATATTTTTTTAAATGTGATTGTTGGTACATTTTACCAGTTATTACCATACTTTCAAAACAAAAATTTAAATAGGAAAAATATGCAATATGAAAATAATTGAAGACAAAATGTGTTTACTGAGAAAAAAAAAACAAGATTTGGTTTTTAAAAAGCCTTTTTCCAAAAGGTACATCTGGAAAAAGTGGGGTCATCTTATAATCAGGGTCGTCTTATATTCGGGCCAATACGGTACTTTCATGTTTTAAAGCATAACAGCGCACTAACGGTTTGATCCAACAGCGATCAGCCTTCCAGTTGAGCAGAGACTGAGACAGAGCGCCCAATCAGCCAGAGAGATCGTCCTCAAAACCTACAAAACAAAACCCATATATCATCTTACATTCTCACAGGATGACTTTAATTGGCCGATAAAATTGAGTGGAGAGAAAAATGAGGTAGACAGTCATGGTTATAAAGGCCGAGAGAGAGTGTTTGAGTACCTGTTTTTTGTAAAGGCAGTAAAAGATGATCTCTTTTTCCACAGCGTAGCCGGTATAAACCACCGTTCCTCTCTCGCTGGGGCTGAACGCTGCTAAACTGGGTGGTAGTGCCAGTGCATCCTGATTAAAAAGATAAAGTGGCTACTTCTTAGTCTTTTCAACTGCAATAAACACATGTGAATGATCAGAGCAGCTCAAGTGTACATAATATACAAACAAGTTCAGAGCATATTTATTGGCCTAATATCAATCACCTCTGGTGGGCTGGGCGCTGGAAACGTCAGCCAATCAAGCAGCTCGCATTTCTCCTTCGTCCAATCAGCTGCCCAGATGCTGACACGCCTGTCTGCACTTACAGCCAACCAGAGCTCATTTCCCTCCAGACCAAACTCCTTATACTAGAAGACATTTATATCAGCACACAAACATTCAATCATTTAGCAAGAACTGGATGATTTTTCAGATAAAAATTTAAAATGCGATAAAAATGTGCTCCAGGTTTGCTGGGCTTGTTTGTAGGGCTGCACAATCTGGCCAAAAATGATTATTTAGATCAATATGACCAGATTTATTATTATTATTGTTATATTTATTATTAATAATAACAACAACAACAAAAATGTATTATTATTTATTATACATATTATTACTAAATAAAAATATTAAACAAAAATTTTGGCCAACAAAAATTACTATAATTAATAACAATAATAAATAATTATTATTGCTATTATTACTAAATAATAATAAAATAAATAATAAAATAATAAATATTACTATTGTAATATTTCACTGTAAAATAAAACAAATTCGTATTTAAGAAAAAATAGATATATCAATATGACTAATTATTATTATTAATAGTAATAAAATAATGATGACAATAATAATAATATTTGGTTATTCATTATAATATTATTACTATTACTAAATAACAATATTAAACAAAATAAGCAATTTTACTATTGTAATGTAAATAAATAGCATATTTGAAAAAAAAAATCATTATTTTATGTTATCAATATTAATGTTTACAGCTGTGTTCTCTTCATGTTCAAATGTTAAACCAATGTGAGCTGTTTGTGTGTAAAAGAACACAGTGCCACGCTTCACTCTGAAACACGCAGCACATATATTTATTTCTTTAAATTTGCAATAATCAGCCTTTGCAATAAGCTATTTTGCAATTTCAGTTTTATTTCAATTGCATTATAACTTACCCTGTAAGTATTTGGACACTTAAGTTACACTTAAAATTTGACAATGCCATTGAATATCTGTATATTTTGGTCTCAAATGCTGCAGTATCTTTTCTTTAAACTCATGTATTTTTAAGCGTGACTTCAGTGTCCGAATACTTTCTAGGAATGGCCCACAATTCCACATCACACACAATGTTGAGTCATTTGCCTTGCAAAACAAAACCACAAAAACAAACACACAGAAGCACAAACCTGTTTGCTGGTGCACTGCACTGTAGTTATGGGCGCCCCCTTGTGGTCACGGATGGTGCGTACAGTGACTCCAGTGACAGGACTGCTGACAGTAATGAGACCATCACGACCACCAGACAACTGCACGTGACCTACACATCCACACACACATCCATATAGTGAACAAAAACACACAAACGCTCACATAGACACAAAGGACTCACACACACTCTCACGCACCGTAGTGCGAGTACTGCAGCGCACACAGACACAGGCTGAGGTTGTAGTTTCAGCTCCATCTCGGTCGACTCCAGACTGAAGATCCTCACAGTCCCGTCACTGTAAGCGCCCGCAACACACACACGCCCGCTGGGCTCATACACACCCCTCGGAGACGACCAACACACACACTCACAGCTCTGCCATACAGAGAAACATACAGAGACACAATTAAACAATAATTAACTGCAAAGGAAAATGAATTTGATACTCAAGAGTTTGACTGGCGATCAGAGAAAGATTATTAGCCATGATTCCATTAGCCAAGTTACACTATCTTCTAAAAGCTAGGGGTCGGTAAAATGTTTTAATCTTGATGCTCACCAAGGCTGCATTTATTTGATCAGAAATACAGTAAAAACAGTAATATTGTGAAATATTATTATAATTTAAAGTAACTGTTTTCATTAATCAATGTTGAAAACAGTTGTGCTGCTTCATATTTTTGTGGATACACCTTACTGACCTCAAACTTTTGAACGGTAGTGTATGTGTTTAGTATCATTAGTAGAAGTACAAACATTACACAGAGTGTAAAAAAGTGTTGATGTGTGAAGTGTTTGAGAGTGTGTATGTACCTGTGCTGGGCAATTAGGCTTGATGTTTGGATATCAAACACTCTGACAGTTCCAGAGCTCGATCCACAAGTGAAGAGAGGCATGCTGGGATGGAACGCAACTGAACAGGGACTTTCATCATCATCAGAGACAAAATCATAGAGCTATAAGATGAATAAGAGATTGCTTTATTGTAATATCAGTCCATGTCTGGCGTCTATGTGCAGCCACCAGCATGTGAAAGCATGCATTTGTGTGTGCATTCATGTTTTAATGATAAACATTCCCATAACTGACCTGTTGCATGGTGTCCATGTCCCACACCCGTAAAGTGCTGTCTCTGGACACTGTGGTGACCCGCCTTCTAACGCCGTCCACACTACAGCCCAAAACACTCGCCGTGTGTGACCTCATGAGTGTACGGTAACCGCGGCTACTGACATCCAGATACCCAAGATTCCCTGTGGTTGTGGCTGCTAGAACTCCCGAGCCGTCCGAGGACACGCACACCAAACTGACAGGCCCCTCGTGCTCTGCAAACACACCAAAACCTCAGTGATTCATAGTTAGTTTTAAGCAAGCAAGATAATTGATTGTGAGAGTGATTGACAGGAGAGTACTGACCTGCCTCTAAGAAAACAGATGAGAAGTCTAGAGGCCACAGACGCATGAATCCATCCTCTGAACCAGTAACGCAGAATTCATCACACACACTGATGCTGTTCACTGCAATACTGGCACCTGAAAACACATTTATAATACGGTCAATATATTTGAATAACAATAAATAAAAAAATATTCAAATAACAATTTATTATAGTTCTCAATCATGATTAAAAAGTGGCTATAGAGATGAAATAATAATAATAATAATAAAACAAGTGTTAAAAAATATTTTCATTTAAATTATTTTTCTATTTTTAATTAACTTTTAAAGAAAAAAATAAAACAGAATATTGCTATTATTATTGTGCTGATCTTTTAAACATGCTGAGCATCAATAATAATTAATACAAATAATTAATTCCACCATGCAAACTACATCTTTACTTATTTAATTGTATTATATTAATTTAATTTAATTCAATTTAAACTGTTCTGCATTCTTCCAGTGGACTATGTGTGTGTTTAGATGCTGATATTTTAAAACATGATGAGAAAAATATTATGATTAATTATTATTTAAATGTATTATTTTTTTATTATTTAATTCAATTTAATGTTGCAGAAAAACTGGGATGAATTAAGGATTAGTTTGGATTCCCTGAATCAAATTTTACATTGAATTGAATTGTGAGGTGTCTAAAGAGAAATAAAAATTTGTTTTAAGGCCTTTTTGACACATATTGACAAGCACATGAAGGAGGCAGGAAACAAACAGTGGGATATGTAATCAGGTATGATATGAGCCAAGATCAAACTTGTGCTGCTCACAAAACACAAATTCTCACCTGTGCTAAAGGTCTGTTTCCTTTGGTGGCTGTGGGTCTCCTGAGCTGGAAGAAGCCTCCTGATGTTTTTTATCGCCACGGCAACATAGTCGATCTCCAGGATGTGACCACTCTTACTGCTGACAAACCTGGGAGATGGTTTGCACGATCAAGATCAAACTGTACCGGGGTCAAACAGCAGATCACTGGTGATGATGTTTTTAACAGACATATTGGCACAGAGTTTGACGCTCTTAAGGTGACTGTGGGTTCTGTTGAGGAAAATCGAGAGCACGTAACGTAGATCCATTGTCAAGCACGTCCA